GGTGGTGGTGGGGTGGTGGTGGTGGTGGTGGTGGTGGGGGGGTGGGGTGGTGGGGGTGGTGCTGGTGGTGGTGGTGGTGGTGGTGGTGGTGGTGGAGGTGGTGGTGGGGGTGGTGCTGGTGGTGCTGGTGGTGGGGGGGTGGTGGGGTGGTGGTGGTGCTGGTGGTAGGGACGAAGATCTCAATGTCCCCTGGTCAACAACTATTGCTCCCCAAGAAGCTGGCTGGAACGCAGGCTCTGGGCCCTGGGGGTGGGAGAATCGGGGCTGAGGCCCTGACTGTTGGTTATGGGGGCGCATGTGGAAGGAAGGCCGAGTTGGAAAAGCCAGACAAGGCCCCTGTGAGTTTCCCAAAGCCCAGCCCACCACATCTTGCTGATGGGTTTGTCCAGCCAAATAGCAGCAGAAGATGCAGCAAACGGGAGGGGAGGCTGTGTTAAAGGGGCAGGATTGTGAGATTTGCAAGCATATGGACGGAATTTTTTAAAACTGTCCAATTGCTTATGAACTGTTTTATTGATTGGCGATTGTTCTTCTCTCTCCAAACAGATGTAAACCTCTCTGAGGCCTCGCACAGCGCCCGGAGGTTCCTGGAATGGGGCCTGACACACACCCAGGGCTCCTTAGAAGTGGTTGCCTGGCTGATAGCATCAAGTCACAGCAACAGCAGCAGCTCAGGTCTACTGGGCACGTCAGCTGCACCCAGGGCTGCAGGCAATGCAGTATGTTCCTTGTCTCATTCATGCCTACAACCTCCCTTTAAAGGTCAGGGCTCTCTTTATTCCCATGTTACAATGACACCAGGCATGGAGGGAGGCAGAAAGGACCTGGCTCCGGGCTCTGCTGAGGTCCAGGTGAAGACCTTTGGTAGTAAGAGGGACCAACGAGAGGGCAGAGGAGGCTCCCTGATCTGGGCTGATGAGTAGACAATCCGAGGAATCAGTTCCTGATGTGGCACCAGAACTCCCTACTCTTGTCTCAAAACACCTCTAAATAGCTGCCTGTGTTTCGTGTCAAGCAGAGTTCTCTCCCTCTTTTACTTTCTACAAATACAGCTGGTTCTCTGGCAGGACAATGTAGGGACCCAGGAATCTCAAGGGCTCAGTTCCCTCCTAAGGTGGTACAACCGGAAGACGGGGGCATTGACCTCCAGAGGCTCAATTGCCGGCCCGCCCGGCCAAAGACACCGGTTGACTCAGCTTCCTCAAACCGTTTCCCCAGGAGTGAATGCTCCCTGGGTCATTCACCTCCGGCGCAGTGAGAGGCCTTGAGCTTAATTGCCCAAAGCCCTGAACTTTAGATTTCCCCAGAGCAGATAGTTCTCCACTCTTCCTCAGGACAGAACTGGGAGGGGGTGGGGGCGGGGTAGGAGAGGGTGTTGAAGGGCTGGCAGGCGTTGGGAAGGGAAGTAGCTGGGCTGACATTTAGGCTCCCAGAGCCTGGCAGCCGGGAGGTCCAGGGGAGGCTGGGTAATTCTCAGGATGGATGACGTGGAGGGAGGAACAGGAGGGTGTTGGTGAGAGGGATGGTTTTAGCTCTGACCTGTGGCTTCTGCCCCACCCGACGTCCCTAAGTGGCCATCTTCCATACAGTGTGATCCGTGGATCAGCCCAGGGCCATGCCCTGACCCAAGGCCACTCCATCCACAGCTGAGGGGCGGCAAGAGAAGATGAACTGAACCAGCCAGTCAGATTCTTCTCTTGGTAATTTTAGACTTTGGTCAAACACTAATCTCTCCCCCAACCCCTCACTCTCTCTCTCTCTTACACACACACACACACACACACACACACACACACACACACACACAATCCGCCATTCACAGTGCTGACCTGGCAAAGGGCCTGGGGTGAGGTACATATGGGTGATTCACACTGCCTCCTCTTTCTGAACAGGCCGTGTAAGAACACAGCCTGTGGCTAAGCACTGGGAGGTCTCATCACTGATTTTTAGGACCAAGAAAATCAAATCATTTTTCTTTTTCTTTCTTTTCTTTGTGGTTTTGTTTGTGGTTTTTAAATATATATATATATATATATATATATATATATATATATATATATATATATTATTGATTTTTTACAGAGAAGAAGGGAGAGAGAGATAGAGAGCTAGAAACATCAATGAGAGAGAAACATCGACCAGCTGCCTCTTGCACACTCCCCACAGGGGATGTGCCCGCAACCAATGCACATGCCCCTGACCGGAATCGAACCCAGGACCCCCCAGTCCGCAGACTGACGCTCTACCACTGAGCCAAACTGGTTTTGGCGGCGGTTTTTTTGTGTTTTTTTTTTTGCTTAATTTTCCCCACAAAATTGTATGGTCACATGTTGGGACACCTATTTCATCTCATGGCACACATAAACTAATTATAAAATTCTGCAGCACACCCAAAAATGTATTTTTTTTGGTGATCTGACAAAAATAGGTATAATTTTGGTTCATTCACACTGGACAGCTATTGTTGTGTTGGCTGTTATCATTTTTTTTCATTTGACAATGAAAGGGAAAAAAGATCAGGGCTCCTGACTGTTAGGTAGTGCATGTTTTAAAAATTTTTGTAGCACACTGGTTGAAAATGTTGTTAGATTTTGCCAAATGCCTTCTCTGCAAGAAAATTGTGTTGGCCCTGGCTGGTTTGGCTCAGTGGATAGAGCGTCGGCCTGCGGACTGAAGGGTCCCAGGTTCGATTCCGGTCAAGGGCATGTACCTTGGTTGCGGGCACATCCCCGGTGGGAGGTGTATGGGAGGCAGCTGGTCGATGTTTCTCTCTCATTGACGTTTCTAGCTCTCTATCTCTCTCCCTTCCTCTCTGTAAAAAATCAATAAAATATATTAAAAAAAAAAAAAAACCAACAACAACAACATTAAAGGCATGTCTTCTCTTAACCTGAAAAGGAAAAGCCTCCAGGTGAGTAGAACAACCTGATACATATATTTATCAGAATAACATTTTATTTGAAGGTTGGAAATATCTTATTTCCAGGAGTCAAGGGAAAGGCCTCAAGAAAACTAGAATTTGCTACATAGGAGAAATAGTAATGCATGCGCCAAAGTTAAATTACGACAGAAGTCAAAGAATAAAACTTGGATAGTTTCTCTTTGCTAAAATCAGAGAAATACTTTTTGACTGTACCTATATCTGTAAAACTTGGGATATTTGGTAGCATTCTATGTACGTGTCTTTGTAACATCTTTAATGCCAGGACATTATGAGAGCTGTGACCTATATTTTAATCTAATTTTGATGTGTATTATTATTAATCTGTGTGTTTTTTTAATTTTAGGATCTATCTTTGCAAAAATACCCCATGAATTTTTAAACAGGGCTTTATCATAGTATCATTTATAGGTATCTTACGTTCTGAATAAATAGAAGTGATTGGGTATCAGTAAAAAAAAAAATGCTTCTGTAGACAAGAAAATATAATAATTGTGTGTTGATGAGGGCTTTTTGCTCTTTGCATTTAATCAAATTAATTCTCCCAAAATGTCCCAGTTCATTTAGTCCGATTCAAAACAGGAGTCTTGGAATTATACATCTTATCCATGTTCAAGAATGGTATTATCTCTGCTGAGTGACATAAAGTGACATTCAAAGTGGCCTCTGTACGTCCGCATTCAGGAGCTCTGACACGTGCAGCTGCCGTCTCCCAGCCGACCCCGTGGTGGCCGTCCTGAGGCTAACGGTGGCTCCCGGGTCCCAGCCTGCGTGCTGGCTGCGAGAGAGGCTTTGGATGTGTGTCTGGCATTTCCAGCTCCGACTGGGACAAGGGAACGGCCTTTGCCCTGCACCAAGACTTGCAGCGCAGGGAGTCCTCCAAACACTCAGGAGCTCAGATGCTCCGTGGGTAACACAAATGACCAGTGTCAGCTGCAGGCAACAGAAAACTTCCTTTCCTCACACAGTAAGCAGCTCCGGTGTAGGCAGTTCAAGGCCGGGGCAGCGATTCCACCGCGCCATCACTGGTGTCCTGTCTGGGCAGCATGTTGGCTGATTGCCTAACAGGTCTAAGGCGGCACCTCAGGTGCCAGCCAGCAGGTCTGGGCTCAAGACAGGAAGAGAGGGACAGAGGGGTGCCAACTGCGTCCTTTCCCGTGTGTCGGGAAGGCAAAAGCTTTTCTAGAAGCTCTCAGCAGACACCCCCCTATGCCTCCCCAGCCAGATGGTGTCATGAAGCCAACCCTGGAAATGAGGAAAGCTGGGACATTATTTAACTGCCCTGGCCCCCAAAGTGGAATTTTATAATAAACCAAAAAAAGGGGAAAGAGCGCCGAAACCGGTTTGGCTCAGTGGATAAAGCGTCAGCCTGGGGACTGAAAGGTCCCGGGTTCGATTCCGGTCAAGGGCATGTACCTTGGTTGCGGGCACATCCCCAGTAGGGGGTGTGCAGGAGGCAGCTGATCGATGATTCTCTCATCAATATTTCTAACTCTATATCCCTCTCTCTTCCTCTCTGTAAAAAGTCAATAAAATATATTTAAAAAAAAGGGGGGGGGGTAGGGCAAAACAGAGTGAGCAATGAGCACTGCTTCAATTAGCGCCAAAGCTAAAGGGTGGTGAGAATCACCCGCCTTCGCCCCAAGAGTTTCTCTGCCCTCAGGTTGTCTCCAAGCAAACCCCCTCACAGGGCAGGCCCTCTCGGTCCCCAGCACCAGCGGGAGAGGGCCGGCTTGCTGTTGGTGGTGACGGCCGCAGGCCGTGGGCAGTTCTGCTGCAGAACCCCGGCCCCCACCCCCCTCAGCCTCTGTGATGTCACACTGGGACTCTCCCTTCCACCCGGAGCTGTGGGCTTCCGGGCGGCGGTGGCCATGGGGCGCCTGGAGCCAGCAGGGGCTGGGGAGCCGGGTGGCTCTGATCTCCCCTGGGGGCGCGGGAGGCCCGGCCATGCCGCTCAGGACCGATGCCATTCCCCTGGTGAAGGAGCCGGAGCCCCGGCCCCCGCCGCAGGCCCCGCTGCCCTGGGTCCTCCCCAGCCTGTTCGCCGCCTTCAACGTGGTGCTGCTGCTGGTGCTCAGCGGCCTCTTCTTCGCCTTCCCGTGAGCCTGGCAGGCTCCTCACGGGAGAGAAGGGGGAGCACAGCACGGAGGCGGGGGAAGAGCCGGAGAGGGCCGGGGGAGGGAGGGTAGTCTGGGCAGAGGGAAGCCAATGTGCAGAGGCACAGGCGGAGGGGGTATTGGGTGCGCGGGGGCTGCAGGTGGCTGCAGGCCAGGGGGACGGCGGGTGGAGCCTCTGTGGACCTGTCAGAAGCCCGTCTATTCGGAGCAGGCTGAGAGGTCACTGGTCCCCGCAGGGAGCTGGACTCAGCCCGCTCCCGCCTCAGTTGCAGGTGGCTGGCCCAGAACGGGGAGTGGGCCTTTCCCATCATCACGGGCCCCCTGTTTGTCCTCACCTTCGTCAGCCTTGTGTCACTCAACTTCTCAGACCCGGGCATCTTACACCAAGGTGAGGCCTGGGCCCCGAGAAGGAGGTGGCCCCGCCGGCTCCTGTGTATAAGGGAGGGTCCCGGCCGTTCTCCGCCGCCGTGGCCTCTGCGCCCCTTCACCCTGAGCCGCATTGCTTGGGCCCTGCTCCTGGCACTTCGCTCCCCAAGGGGAGGAAAGATGGGATTCTGGAGGCTTTCCAGTGCCTTGGAGGGGTGGGCTGGTCCAGGCGGGCAGAGAAGCCAGCTCTTCCCGCTCTCCCTCCCTCCTTCCCGCTGAACAAAAGCCTTAAAGCGCCAGTCACGGTTCCAAAGGCCCGAGTTCTTGCAGAATTCCTCCGGCGAAAACCCGAAAACCGTCTTTCCCTGTGACTGCCAGCCTCAGCGTGCTCTGCAGGGACGAGGGTTCCCCTGCCCACTTCCTGCCCTCCGTTCCCCACCAGCCCCAGCCCGATGGGCGGGCTCCGGTGCTGCCCACCCCTCTCCCCGTGCCAGGCTCCACCGAGCAGGGCCCCACGGCCGTGCACGTGATCTCGGTGAACCGCAAGGCCTTCCGCCTGCAGTGGTGCCAGAGGTGCTGCTTCCACCGCCCGCCCCGGACCCACCACTGCCGCTTCTGCAACATCTGCGTGGAGGTGAGGGCCCCTGGCGCTGGCCCACCTGCCCACCCCCGCCCCCATCCAGCACCGTGTGTGGACCAGGAGGCTCCCCGCCTACAGGGGCCAGGGGCAGCTGTAAGACAACTTCGGGGACTGCGAAGGCCGAAGGTGGCAGGGACCCCCGGCCACTCTTGGTCACGCGTGCAGTCCCCGCCTCTGTGCCTGCGCTGGTCCCGAGGGGCTGGCGCTTGGCTGCACAGGAGCTGACACTCAGGGCCGCCGGTCCACACCTCTGCTGGCCCGGGCAGGCCGGGGGGGGGGGGGGGGGGGGCAGCCCAGCCTATGCCCCCCCCCCACTCCCTCACCCCTGCTCCTGCCCTGGGCTTGCTGACAGCAGGTCCCAAGACCCTTAGACTCACACTGGCTCAGACCCTGAGCGAGGGCTTGTCTTTCTCACACGCACAGCCCTCAGAGGTGCTGCCTTCTGTGGCCCTGCCAGCCCTGGGAGGGGCGGGCGGGGCCAGGCTCTCAGCCTCGTCCCTGGGTGAGAAAGCAGGTGCCCTGAGAGGCTCTGTGTCCTGCCTGGAGTTGCCAGCAAGAGTTCCACCCAAGACCAGGCAGGCTTTGCTCCCACGGCCTCCTGACAGGCCCCGGGTGAGCCGCAGGCCCTAACCAACCCCGGAAATGCCGCGAGGGCCCGGTGGCTCCCTGGGGAACAGCGGAGAAGGCAGTGCGGGGCCCGGCCAGCGGCGTGGGGCGGGAAGGGAAGGCTTCCGAGGCAGGGCCCACGGAGAGGAGACGGGCCAGACCTCCCCGAGGGGAGACCTAGCGGCCGGCCGCTCCCCTCCCGCCCAGGACTTTGACCATCACTGCCAGTGGGTCAACAACTGCATCGGCCACCGCAACTTCCGCCGCTTCATGCTGCTCGTGCTGTCCTTCTGCCTCTACTCGGGCGCCGTGCTGGTCTCCTGCCTCATCTTCTTGCTGCGTCCGAACCAAGAGGCCCCTTACGTAGACCGGGTCATCGCGTATCCGCCTGGCAGCTGAGCCCGCGGGGAGCCGCGGAGCGCGGGGACGGCCGAGGGCGGCGGGGCTCGAGGTTAGAGAGAAGCGGTGGGGGAAGACCAGTCTGGGACCAGGCGGGGTGGGCGGGCGGGCGGGGAGATGGGCGGGCTGAGGAGCTGCAGGGTCCGGATGGGGCAGCTAGGATGGGGCAGCTGAAGGTGGCCCGGGGTCGGGGCAGGTTTGCGGCTGCAGCGCAGGGAGCGGGTGGCTGGGTGGCTGTGGGCGGGCTGGGTGGGCGGAGGGGGCCAGGGGCAGGCCCGGGAGGCCGGGCGGACGCCCGCGGCTCTGCTCCTTAGCCGGTGCCCAGCATCGTGGTGGCCGTGCCCGCTGCCGGCTTCCTGGCGCCGCTGTGCCTGCTGCTGCTGATCCTGGCCAAGTCCGTGAGCGCGGCCGAGCGCTCCTGCGAGGGCAAGGTAGGTGGGCCCGCGGGGGTCACCCTGCCGCTGGGCACCGCCGCCCCCTCCTTCACCGCCTGGGCACTGCCGGCCTGGCTGCCCTCGAGGATGCCTCGTTAGCCCTTCCAGGCCCAGCGTGAGCTCAGATCTCCCCTGGGTGGTCACTCTCCCTCCGGCGTGCACCGCCTCTAGCGCCTACTGTGTGCCCTGGCGCCTACTGTGTGCTCTGGCGCCTTCTGTGTGCCCCTGGCGCCTACTGTGTGCCCCTGGCACCTATTGTGTGCCCCTGGCGCCTACTGTGTGCCCCTGGCACCTACTGTGTGTCCCTGGCGCTTACTGTGTGCCCTGGCACCTACTGTGTGCCCCTGGTGCCTTCTGTGTGCCCCTGGCACCTACTGTGTGTCCCTGGCGCCTACTGTGTGCCCTGGCACCTACTGTGTGCCCCTGGTGCCTTCTGTGTGCCCCTGGCACCTACTGTGTGCCGGGCTGCGGGTTCGTTCTTTGGGCGGGCGGCGCACAGCGAGTCAGGCTGAGTCTGGGCTTATGCTGAAATCAGAGTAACGCCTGCCAGACGCCTGTGACCACGCTGAGGGCCTGTCCCGGAGTGGGCAGCAGACGCAGAGACTGTGGGGCAGAGAAGGAGACCCCTCGGTGGTTTGGACGGGCAGAAGACGGGAGCGCATTGCTGGTGAGGGACCAGCTGGCAAAAAGGCAGGGAGCCTGGCGGTGGCCGGGGTGAGGATAGGATGGTGAAGAAATTGTCTTTTGTTTTATTTGATTATGTTTTTATTGATTTCACAGAGAGAAAGGAGGAGAGAGAGAAACATCAATGAGGAGAATCATGGATGGGCTGCCTCCTGCGCACCAACCCTAGAAGGTGCCTTGACCCCGAATTGAACTCCAACCTCTGGTTTATAGGTCCATGTTCAACTACTGGGCCGCAAGGGCCAGGCAAGAAATAGTCAATTGAGCAGGAGAGGGCACAGAAGTCAAGCCAGATTTATTTATTTTTAAAAATATATTTTATTGATTTTTCTTACAGAGAGGAAGGGAGAGAGATAGAGAGCTAGAAACATCGATGAGAGAGAAACATCGACCCAGCTGCCTCTTGCACACCCACTACCAGGGATGTGCCCGAAACCAAGGTACATGCCCTTGACTGGAATCGAACCTGGGACCTTTCAATCCGCAGACCGACGCTCTACCGCCGAGCCAAACCGGTTTCAGCTGAAGCCAGATTTAAAAGGCTCAGAGCGTCAGGTGGAGAGTTTGGTCTTGGTACAGTGGAATCCTGGAAGCCATGATTGGATTCTCTTTCTAAACATACAAACACCTGCAGTCCTCTAACCAGCCCCCCATAACCAAGATTTAGAACATTTTTATCAACCCCTTCCCCCCAAATTCCCTCAAGGCTTTTTTCATTCCGTTTTTCTCTTTGCCAACCTGGTACCCACTGATCTGTATTCTATCTCTATAGTTTTTTTCTTTTCCAGAGTCCCATATAAATGGAAACAAAGCCTTTTGAGTCTGGCTTTTTTCACTTAGCATAATGCATTTGAGAGCTGTCTATGTTGTTATTCATATCAGTAGTTTTTTTCCTTTTTGTGGTTGTGTACTATTCCATCATGTGGATGTACCACAGCTTGTTTATCCGTTCACCATTGCCAAATTGTCTTCCAAATGGCTGTTCCATTCTGCATTCCCAAAGCAATGCAGGAGAATCTCAGTTGTTCTGCATCCTCACTAACATTTGGCATTGTCGGATTTGTGTGTGGTGTGTGTGTGTGTGTGGTGTGTGTGCGTGTGTTTTCATTTTAGCTAATTTAATAAATGTGTAGAAGTATATCATTGTAGTTTTAATTTGTATTTTTATAATGACTAATGATGTTGTGCATTTTCTAATGTTCTTGTTTGCCATATGAATGTGTTTGATTAAAAGTCTGCTTCAGTCTTTTGTCCATTAAAATATTAGATTGTATTTGAACTATTTAATTTTAAGAGTTCTTTATATAGTCTAGATTTAAATATTTTCTCCCACTCTGTGGTTTGTCATCTCATTTTCTTTTTTATTTTTATTTACTTTTTAAAAAATTATTTTCTTTAGTATTTTAATTTTTTAAAAATATATATTTTGTTGATTTTTTTACAGAGAGGAAGGGAGAGGGACAGAGAGCTAGAAACATCAATGAGAGAGAAACATTGACCAGCTGCCTCCTGCACGCCCCCTACTGGGGATGTGCCGGCAACCAATGTACATGCCCTTGACCAGAATCGAACCAGGGACCTTCCAGTCCACAGACAGATGCTCTATCCACTGAGCCAAACCGGTTTCGGCGTATTTTAAATTTTTATGAAGTACATGATCGGATGTTTTTTCATGGATTGTGCTTTTTGATGCTGTAATTAAGAAATATTCACTTCACCTCAAATCACAAGGTTTAAAAAAAAATATGTTTTCTTTTAGAAGTGTTATAGTTTTAGAATTTATAATTGGGCCTACAGTTCATTTTGGGTTAAATTTTGTATGTGATACAAGGTAGGGATCAAGATTAATTTTTTTACATATGGGTTTTTCCAGCACCATTTGTTTAAAAGACTACCTTGCTTCCATTGAGTTGCTTGTGCACTTTTATCAAAATTCAACTGGCACATAGGTATGGGTATACTTGAGGATCTCTATTCTTTTGCTAGTATCACACTATTTTGACTAGTAGCTTTATATTAAAGTTAAATAGTTCTGGAATCACACCTTGTGAGTTCTTCAACTTTGTTCTTTTTAAAGTTCTTTTGGCTATTGGTTCCTTTGATTTTCCACATACTTCTTATTTTTATGTATTTTTTATTGATTTCAGAGAGTTTAAAAAATATGTATTTTTTATTGATTTCATAGAGGAAGGGAGAGAAGGAGATAGAAGCATCAATGATGAGAGAGAATCACTGACTGGCTGCCTCCTGCATGCCCCCCACTGGGGATCCAGCCATGACAGGCAACCCAGCATATGTCCTGGCTGAGAATTGAACCATGAACTCCTGGTTCATAGGTTGATGTTCAACCACTGAGCCACATCAGCTAGGCGGCCCCATAATTTTTAGAATCTGCTTGTCAATTTCTACAAAAATGTTTGCTGATATTTTTATTTGGATTGGGTTGAACCTTCTTTTGAATTCATGAACATGGTGTACCTCCCCATTTATTTACGTCCTCTGTGACTTCTTTCATTAGTGTTTTGCAGTTTTCTATGTATAGATCTTGCATATACTATGCTAGATTTTTTCCTGTTTCCTGTTTTTGTGCTTTTATAACTTTTTTTTTACTGTAAAATAAGTATATATTTTTAAGAAATTAAAGATTGAATCAATGTGGCATTCTAGAACTCCAAATACCACAGTTTAACAGGAGATGAATGGTGAAATTCTACAATAATTACTGTTGATGTTTTCATTGCAATTCCATCAGATTAGTTACATCTTTATTCTGTTGCTATTCTTATTCAAATTTGTGCTGTTTTCTGTATTTACTTGTGTTCTTCAACATCTTTCAATAATCCTATCTAATAAAAGAGTAGTATGCAAATTGACTGTCACTCCAACATACAAGATGGCTGCCCCCATGTGGTCAAAGATGGCCACCACAAGATGATTGGCAGTGGAGGGCAGTTGTGGGTGATCAGGCCAACAGGGGAGGCCAGTTGGGACAGACCAGGGCTGCAAGGGAGGGCAGTTGGGAGGGACCCAAGCTTGCAGGGGAGGGCATTTGGGGGGGATCAGACCAGCAGGGGAGAGCAATTGGGGGCAACCAGGCCGGCAGGAGAGAAATTAGGCATTGATCAGGCTGGCAGAGGAGTGGTTAGGGGGTGATTAGGCTGGCAGGCAGAAGCAGTTAGGGGCAATCAGGCTGGCAGGCAGGCAGGCAGGCAGGCGAGTGGTTGGGAGCCAGCAGTCCTGGATTGTGAGAGGGATGTCCGACTGCTTGTTTAGGCCTGATCCTGGGCCTAAATGAGCAGTCGGACATCCTCAAGGGTCCCAGATTGGAGAGGGTGCAGGCTGGACTGAGGGACACTCCTCCCCTGTGCATGTATTTCATGCACTGGGCCTCTACTTTTATACATAACAGGCTTGCATCTTTTGTTAAATATTTTCCTAGCTACTTTATAATGCTTTTTTACGAAGTTTTACTTTCTATTAGCTAGATACAATTGTTAATCTTTTAAAATGATTTTATTAATTTTTAGAGAGGAAGGGAGAAGAAGAGAGAGATAGAAACATCAATGATGATAGAGAATCATTGATTAGCTGTCTCCTGCATGCCCCCTTACTGGAAATTGAGCCCAAAAACCAGGTATATGTCCTTGACTGTACTTGAACCTGGGACCTTCAGTTTATAGGCAGATGCTCTATACACTGAGCCAAACCAGTGAGGGCGCAATTGTCAGTCTTAAATGAGATTAAAATTTTACTTTTGCATCTAACAACCTTACAAAATTTTCTTCCCCCCTCTTTTTAAATTAAATTTATTTGCCTGACATTGGTTAATAAGATCATACTAGAGGCTTGGTGCACAAGATTTGTGCATGGGAGGGGGTGTGTACCTCAGCCCAGCCTACACCCTCTCCAATCTGGGACCTCTTGAGGGATGTCTGAGTGCCCATTTAGGCTGATTCTAGTGAGATTGGGCCTAAGTGGGAAGTTGGATGTCCCTCTCACAATCCAGGACAGCTGGCTCCCAACTGCTCACCTGCCTGCCAGCCTGATCACCTCCAACCACTCCTCTGCCAGCCTGATCGATGCCTAACTGCTCCCCTGTCAGCCCAATTGCCCCTAACTGCCCTTCCCTGCTGGCCTGATTGCCCTAACTGTCCTCCCCTGCAGGCCTGGTCCCCCTCCCCCCCCCAAACTGCCCTCCCCTGCAGGTCTTGTCCCTTCCAATTTCCCTCCTCTGCAGGCCTGGTCCCTCCCAACTGTTCTTCCCTGTAGGCCTGGTTGCTCCCAAGCCCTCCCCTGCAGGCCTGGTTGCCCCT